CCATAGAACATGTGTGAATGTAGAGTAAGGATTAAAAAGAATGACTCAGTGAGTTGTACTATACGCAAGGTCAATGGAACAGGAATGAACATTCAGCCACTGGCCTATCTGCTTACTGAACAACCCAGGCCTTTTTTCCCTTCTGCACCTTTTTTGGATGCCAGATGAAATCTGAGGAGCTGGCCCTTAGCCACCTAAGTGATTTCCCCAAGACAGATGCCATTATGTAGCCACTGGGTCTCCCTGACTTCCTCCCCAGTTTGAGAACAGGAAGAGCAGTGCCCAAGAAGTCTATCGAGCCGAGGATCTCAGAGAAGTTAACCAAACTCCCAGTTGGACAGAATACATTTGTTCAGGAACACTATGTACATTCTGGTTTTTCCAAATATGAGAAACAGATGGAGTAATTAATTCAAGATAAACAAAAAACCAAAGCAAACAGCAAGCCATTATTTGGTACCTGTTCAGTTATTTCACAGGAAGGGAAAAGGAACAAACAAGCTTTTGATATATCCTCTGTCTCCAGTAACAACCAGTGACCAAATCCAAAGTTTTCTTCAGGTGACCCTTCTAGCGCTTTATTTGACAAGCCCCTGCTGGAAACTTTATACCCCGGATTTTGTAATATGGCATTCTTACACCCTCGTTTTTTCTTTTAGATGATTTCTCAGTCTCAAATACACATAACAAGTCCTGACCCTTCTCCTGAGATCCAGAACCAGATCTGAATACCACATTAGCAGTTCACCTCAATACATTCAAAATCAGTATCATCTGCCTTTGAATCTTTCTCCACTCCTTTTCCCCATTTTCCCTAAGACACTGTCATTCTCATAGTCATACAAGATGAAAATCTTGGAGTCATTTTGTCCTCATCCCACATGTTCATCCTCTTTTGTTATTTGCTCTACATTACTTTTCTCTTCCCACAATTGCTGTCTTAATTACATTGTGTCTTTTTCTGACTATTAACTAGCCTCTTAAATTATCTCCCAATATCTAGTCATTATACCCCATAATTCATCACTTATTGTAAAGTAATGTCAGAATTATTTTAAGATAGGTACTGATTATGTTGCTTCTTCATTAAAATCCACTAATATCTAATAAAAAGGGAGGGGAAAGTTAATACATGTTCCTTCTAGAAGATACAGATTAGCAAAATGAAGAAAATAAAATATATTAATAAAGTCCAACATCCAGGTCATCAAATGTCATCAGTTTAGCCTGTATAAAATTTGAACCTCGGGAATGATGCAATATGTATTTTATAAGCTGCTTGTTTTTGTTTTATACCTCATCAGCATATTTCAATGCAATTAACTACATTCTACAACATATATGATTTTATTAGCTGTATAGTAGTATCATTGTATGAATTGCCACAACTGTTTTAAGTTTTGTGCCATCTAGCTTTTTATGGTACAGCCTTCAGTATATCCTATGGTTTAATACAAAACTCAGTAACTGCTGCCTGTTTAAGTGTATCCTCCAAACTGAGAATGGCTTTTACAGTTGTAAATCACTGAGGGGTGGGAAGTCAACAAAGAATATCTTGTGAAATGAAAATTATGAAATTCAAATTTCAGTGCCTATGAATAACGTTTCATTTAAACGCAGCCAGACTTGTTTTTATGTATTGTCTATGACTGCTTTTGCACTACAACAGTTCAGTTGAATGTTTTCAACAAAGACCCATGGCCCACAAAGTTTAAAATATTTACCTTCTGGCTTTTTACAGAAAATGTGCTAATGCCTGGTTTAGCCATGCTGAATACAGCACTAAATGTGTTCTCATACTTGGATACCTTTCTTCATCCAACTTTATTCTAGGCTGCGGTCCCTTCATCTTGTTTGTTTTTCAATTCTCCTAACGCCAGGAACTTGTTATCATATCAGATCTGTCACTATATTGTGCTTAATCATACCCAGGTCTTTCTCTCCTTTAGCTAAAAGAAACATAACGACCATGACTTTCATTCATTCCGTTTTTTGCAACATGCTTCTATGCACGGTATTCTAGTACACAATAGTTGTGAAATGGTGATTGAAACAGACATTTGGGGGCCTTTAGTTTGAGAAAATAGCAAACACTTTGATTCATGTTTCTCTAGTAAAACATTCTGAATTTCAAATAATAAACTTGCTAATGAACCTATGGATTATTTCTCCTCAGAAAATCAAAGACAGCATTTTACTCTAAATCATGATTGTTTTTGTGTAGAGTCCCTCTGCATCCCTGATGGACTTTAAGCAACAATAAAGTGACATGGACTAGAAGGGAATGGTTATTTCCCTTAGATTAGAGGAAGTGGGAGGTCTCGGGGCACATTTGTGCTAGTCCTAGCCTTCTGTCTTATCCCCGTGTACAATTTGCTACTGTTGCCAATTAGCTTCCATCTTGTATTACTACCTGACTTACACTTGACCATGCATATATTCACTTCAGAATAAGCCAGTCACAGCAATCAGTGCTTTGCATATGCATACCATCACTATTAATAACTACAGTGCAATTCATTTATGGCAGAATGGAGCAGAGTCCACACAGAAGCTGAAGATGGTACCCAAGGCTGCTTCTTACTCATTGTGGAAGCAGACCACATAACTGCAAAGCACAATTAAGGGTAGCAAATTCAGTTTTCAGTATTCTTGACAGTTTTCTTTGTATGATACAAAGGCAATTACACATTTTTGTTATAAGCATTATTAGAAAAAAACAATAAGCACTATTGAACCATTAATCTATAAGAACTGTTAGTTATACTATTAGATTATGCATCCAAATTATTAGATGAATGTGAAAAGGGAAAAACTGCATGTCAGATCCTATTCATTAGAAATAAGAGACTTAATTCCTTGAGTGAAAATATCAGTACAAAACATACTAGAACGTACCTTGGACATTTACTATTTATATAATGAAAGTAAAAGTGAAATCTGAAATACTGATTGAATAGAGAATAACAGTTCATACTTTTCTCAGAAACATTTTAACCAGCAAAATATTTTTGTGCTTCAAGTGTTTCTAGTGTCTTGAACAAATAAAAAAATTTGTAACTTTTTAAAATGAAAATGACAGTTTTGAAAATAAAAGCATAGGAATTGTTCTGCCTGTTAGATGTATCCTTTATTGTTGGACAATTAGTATCAGTTTCAGATTAAATATGTATTTGTCATTTCATGACAGACAAGTGATTGTTATAACAGCTTTCAAGAAAATTACTATTTCAGTTTTGAAAACCATAAAAAGAGAAAAACAGTACCATAATAACTGCAGATTAAGAACGTACTCACAAAGATCCTTTTAGTTTTAATGTACCTAAATATAGAACTCCTAAAAAGTTAGAAGATACACAATTACAATTATGCATCAAATTAGTACTTTTGCTTTTATAGGGGTATTATTTTTAATAATAATAAAGATTAGTGCTCCGTAACTTAAAATTTGCAGATCAATCCATTAAAAACAAAACAATGAAAAGCTACAAATCCGTAGTTTTAAGTTTCAGTTTATGATTAGATTTCTTTTTGTATTAACCCTCATTCTTCAGTTAGCTTCATCTTCAGAGCAAGTTTATCTACAACTGACACATCTATCTGCTTTACCAGCAGTGTTTTTAATGATCGTGTAGATGGAACCACAACTACAGTTTAATGCCCTGATGAGGTTTATTGCTGACATTCTTCTTCATGGAGATGGTCATCCTTATAGTACACTTTATTCATTACTTTTTTTTTTTTTTTTAAGTAAAAGCAATGTCTGATTGCATCCTGATATCATCACATAATTTTTATCTTCTTATTTAACAATTTCTCAGAAATCGAATAACAAGAGTAATTATTCTGTACTGTACTGTGACTTCCTGTACATTTTAATTGATGTTATATAATATACACTGTATATTATATAATTTAAATATATATTATATATAAATATTTTATATTTTATAAAATATGTTATATTTTAAAATATATATTTATTCTTGCACATAGTATCACCAGAATCATAAAATATTAGCACTGAAAAGAACTTGGGAGTCATCCAAAACAAACGTTCTTTTCACTAATGAGGAAACCGAGGTTCAGAAAGACAAAACAATTTATGCCTAGGATATTATAATTTAAACATCCAGATATAAAACTTACCTAGTTTGGACATTTTTCCAGCTACATGTTTTCTTTTGTTTTTTTTTTAAAACACTACAGGAACTATTAATTGCATTTTTGCCTTATATTTATATTGTAACTTTTTTAAATGAAATTGGTTTGTCTCTGGTTGCCTTGCAAAGTTGTCTTGTGTTGTCAAGACTCAAAAAGAACATGACACATGTCAGCAGAAAGGTACAGATATAAACAAAAGTTTCATAAATGTTATTTAAATTGATTCACCATCTTACAAAATTAAATTTTGTTTCATAAAGCTTTGCTTAGGGAAGTTTAAAAAACTAATAGCTATCTCTTTTTTTAATTTTCAATTATCTCTGCTGATGTTTCATCAGAAGTTTTATTATTTATGTATACTCGTTTTGGTTGTTTGATATAATGAGATTGTAAATTACATTAACAAAGACCAAGTGATTAATAATTATTTTATGTAAGTAAATTTTACATTTAATGAGAAAAAATATGTTTAGGACAGTCAAATGACCCACTTCACACATTTGTTTCAGTCCATTCCCTTCTATTTCCCCTACATTACCATTTTAAATGCTGATTTAACTATTGCTCTAGGCAGCAGTGAGAGGAATGTTTATGTAAATTGAAACCACAAATTCAAGTTTTCAGCATCTTCTCTCACCCCTGACCCTATTCCCACCCTAAGCCTGATCTGGTTAAAGGTACTACTTTAGAAAAATTGCCCTGATGTAACAATTACAATTAGTTGAATTAATACAATTATGACATTTTAATGTTATATTTACATGTACTAATTTAGAATGGAATAAAAAGCATATTTTTTTAATGTTCAGCACATAATAATTTTCTTTCTTTTTCAGCTTTTTAATTAAATGAAGCCAAGTGGGATTTGCATAAAGTGAATGTTTACCATGAAGATAAACTGTTCCTGACTTTATACTATTTTGAATTCATTCATTTGTTGATTGTGATCACTAGCTTATTCTTGTGTATGTTTTTTAAACTGTGGGTTTTCCTGGTAAATTTAATTTATAGAAATGAATGGTAACATGTAGTAATCTACAGAGGAAATATCAAAGTGTTTTTTTTTTCAAGCCTATCATAGTGTGTGCCACAGGATTGAAATAAATGACATTGTAATTATGAATTCATGTTTTAGAACTGTTTACTCATTAGTAAAGGAATACAATGTTAGTAAAGAAAACCTACAAAATGTATGTTAAAGATTCTTAGTATTGTACAGGGATAAAGCAAATGCATGAAAATATGTCATGTACTGAAAATTAAACTTACTGCAGCTTCAGTTATAAAGTACTTGCACTGTTACGAATAGTGTTTTGTTCTTATTCATCGTAACTAGATAAAGGTGTATAGGACAGGGAACTGGATGAATGGTACCTACAATTTGGATGCCTAACCAAGGAATACAGCTGCTTTTTGAGATCTAAATCTAAAGTAAACATGCACTAAATCAATGTGCTTCAAAGGCATCAGACAATGAAAGAAACATACCACAACTAGGAGTTATTCCTGAAACTTTAGATATCATCCGGGAATCCTGATTTATGAATAACAGCAAACTTAACCCACTATATCCGTTTTCCTTTTGTGTTTTATGGAACCAGCTTCCCATCAAAGCCTCATTACTTGAATCCAGATAATAGGTTATCCTAGGATTAGTGAATGATTCAAGGAAGCTTTCTTGGTAACAAATATAGAGTGTAATTTACTATTATGTTTTGTAGCCTGTTTTAGTTTATAAGGCACTTTCATATACATTATGGTACTTCTTCCTCACAACCTTGTAAATTAGAGTGTAAATTTTATCTGACTTAGAGAAATAATGGAAGCTGAAAGCCAAACATAAATAAAAGTTCATAACAAGGCTTTCAAATTCTCAAACATGGAGTTTTATATTCTGCGGAGTTAACGCAAATTATGGGTTTAGAAAAGCAGTTCTTCAGTCAGCTCAGTAGGTGTTTTTTCTAAGTTTTATTATCTAATTATCATTAAGATTTGAATAATAGACCATGGAGAATTGATTTCATTGGGAGTTCCAGCTATATAGCCTCAAACAGGAAACAGGTATACATCCACTGACTTTACTTCTTTAAATCTATGCATTTCAATGAAGAATGGGAAATATAAAAACCTCCTGAGGCAGGTTTATCAAGTTGTATCCCAGGGCAATGTGTGTGCTAGCAGGATGAATGCTATCTTTTCAAAACATAATATTCAGTGAAAATTACAATAATACTTTTAAGTTTTAATCATACTCCCAAATCTGTTACTAAAAATAACATTAATTTTCCTAGTTTGTGTACTTAGATGAATAAATTCAGTTATGGAATGACATTTATGGAAAAGCAATAGATGAAGATAATCATTTGTTCACTGCCTATCCCTAGGCAGAACCTGACTTGTAATTCTTAATCCATTGCAGACTTTTTACATTTTACTCAAAACTTCAGGGATTACATAGAGAATCTCAGGTCAAATTTTACAAGTAGTAAAAATTTGTAAATTATAATTACTTTTACTTGAATCCTTAAATCTCAAAATTATCTGTTAATATGCAGCTGATTAAATGATATTACAAATTAATCTCACTGTAAAGCTTTTAGTCATATCAAAGTCAGGTCATTCTCAGTCACTATAATTAAGGAGTACTTTCCTATACCATATTAGTAATGGTTTTCTAGCCCATATGTTGTAATTTCCTCTGAGCATTTAAAATAAGTCCAATGATAAAACAGTATTTTTTTCAGAATTTCATGGTTTAAAAACCCGTGGCTTCTCTATAGACAACTGTTGGATTAGGGAAGTGATTCTAGGGCAAAATAGACTGCCTCAAGGTAAGTCATTACTGACTGCAAAATGCTATATGCAAAATTGCAAAGATGGCTCAAACATAGTTTGCTTACAGAATGTAGCATGAGGAAAATTACATAATATATGATACATTTACCTTTCCTAAACTGTGAGAATTGAATAATTGATTTGTATCTGATATGTTATATCCTCCAGTGTCACTTTTTAACCAGATTCACTCTGTTCAAAACTGTCAAAAAATGTGATTGTATGATTAACAATTATTTTTCTACTACAGTGGAGAAAAAAATCCTTATAAAATTCCATCTAAAGGAGTTCCATTTTTAATAACGTCTGATTGATAACTTGTTGCATTTTGCTCAACATACTGTTCCTGGCATTAGATATTCACATGAGTAAGCCCAGTAGCATTTTGTGCTTACCGTAATTTTCTTTTACACCTGAAGTAATATCCCTTGTCAGTTACAATTCAGCAGACACAGTGATTTGGGGAGATTAGATGTTGCTGTAACCATGGAGTTTGACAAGTATTCCCTTTCTTGCTATCATGAGAAACCTCCCTAAGGGTATGTGAAGGGAGTGGTTATTCTAAATAAGGCATAATACACTGTTATTTTTCAACCAATGATATTCAACATTGTGTTTTAAAAAGGACTGGTCTCGGGGGTAAACACATTAGCCAGAGCATCTAGGAATGAAATATTTGAATTGAGCCTTGAAGACTAAATATTATTAGAGTCCACAGTGCTCATTAAGTTTAAAATAGTAAAACAAGGTCCTCTACATACTCCAGCAATATGCTGTATTGGATCAGGCTAGTGATATATGTAATAATGTTTTCTATAATAATAGGAAGAGGATGAGCATTGTAGCTGGTCACATTCAAAATGGTACAAATATGCATTCATTAGCTCCTAAATTCCTTGATGTAATTCATGAGCATCTATCATTTATGAATTTTCCATATTCCTTATGTATGAAATATATGCACATATTTATGTCATATACCAAGGGTCCATGTATTATACAAAGTTTTAACAAAGCATCTCACTTTGAGGCCATAATAGGAAAATCATGTCACATTTACCAAAATGTTGATATGTCTATTTCCATTAAAAATTATGCATATATGTTAGTAAAATGACAGAGTAAGAAACTCCAGGGACATACCCATCCTTAGGAAAACTGGGGAAAAAAGCCTGTCAGAGTCCAGTTTATCGGAAATCTGGTTAAAAAAAAAAGGTTTTCCAAACAAAAGCTTAAACCAAGACAATGCTTAAATTAAAAAGGCAACTGAAACTCAGTTGGATAGCTTAATGGCATTTTAACTTAATTCTCTCTCTTTGCTCCCAAGTCAGGAATGGTCTTCAAAGACTGCAGCCTGCATTCCTTGTGTGGGTTCCTAGCTTTGGAGGGAACAGAATAGACCTACTTCTTAAGAAATGGTATTCGTTTTGACCTATCTAGGGGCTTGCCTATGGTTCATGTAATTCAGAAGTCTCTCCAGGTGAAAAAGTGGCTGTGCGGAGAATGATTTCTTGAAAGCATTGAAAATAAATGAACAAGCCTCTGCTGTCTGGAGAAAGATTGCAGTTGGGACAAATAGACACAATGAAAGCCTGGAAGGGAAAGCTAGAGAGTGAGAAAACTTGGAGAATAAGGACTCGGAAAGGATCCTACATATTCTAGGGACTCTATAAGGTTATATACATACCCAGAGCACGATCCATGTTCAGAAAAGTCCTGAGAAGATTCTAAGCTTTCACCGCTTGCTGATAGTCATATTTATACCCAGACCAAACAGGAAGTGAAGACTAAAACAGAGTCTATTTTAGGGAGAGTATTTTCTCTTTCTTTTTTTTTTCTCCAGGCATTTGAGGAAAGTTCTGTCAAACTACTGAGTGACCGCTAATCTAATAGATTAAATGTTACACAGACCACACGTGATAAACAATTTAGAAAAGTCACTAAACCACTACTACACAACAAGTCATGATAACAAAACTTGGGGCAGAATCTAGTTTCCAGAGTTGCCATATTATAATATTTATGATATCCAGTTTATAACAGTTAAAAAAGTGAGGCAAAAAAAGCGACAAGAAAGTCTTATTCACAGGGACATAAAAGAAACTGTCCTTGAGGAAACACAGGCATCGGACTTGCTGAACAAGGACATTAATGTCTTCAACGTACTCAAAGAGCTAACAGAAACCATGGGCAAAGAACTAAAGGAAACACAGAGAATGACATATCATTAAATAAAGAATATAAAGAGATAAAAATTATAAAAAGGCGTCAAATACAAAATCTGATGTTGAATAATATGATCAGTAGTAATTTTAAAATGAATCAATTGAAATTACAATAATCAATAATATAGTAGTAATTGGAAAAGTCACTAGAGAGGCTTGACAGCAGAATAGGCAGAAGAAACAATCAGTGAAGTTGAAGCTAGGTCAGTTGCTGAAATGATCCAGTCTGAGGAGGAGAAAAATGAACAGAGACTAAAATACCTGTTAGATACCATGAAAGATATCAAATGTGAATAACAGGAGTCCTGGAAGAGAGAAAAGAGGACAGAAAAGAGTATTTGAAGAAATAATGTTGAAACTTAACAAATCTGAAAAAAGACATGAATCCAATAACCAAGAAGTTTAACAAATTCCAAGTAGTATATAAACTCAAAGAGATCCATACCAGCACACATTAAAATCAAACTGTCAAAAGATCAAGAATCTTGAAAGCAAGAGAGACATGACAACATGTAGAAGAAATTATCAGTAAGATTAACAGCCACTTGCTCATTAGTGGCCACGGAGGCAGAAAGGTATTTTAGAATGTGGAAAGAAGGCCAAGAATTCTGTACCTGGCAAAGTTATCCTTTTACAATGAAGGATAAAGTAGTACCTCTCCAGATAAAAGATTCTGTTCTTTACAGACCTACCATATAAAACATGCTAAAGAGAGTACTTCGAGCTGAAGGGGCACTAGATAGTAACTCAGAGCCATTCAAAGAAATGAAAAATATTAGTAAAGGACTGCATAGATTAAATATAAAATACAGCATTATTTTATTTTTTGTAACATCTCATAAAATTTAAAAGATGAATGCATAATACGCTGATTGTAAATCTTATGAATTTATAAATTAAAACCTATAATAAATTGGAAAACAAGTATGTGGAAGATAATATAAACAACTAATGGGTCACAGAAGAAGTCACAAGGGAAATTAGAAAACACTCTAAGACTAATGAAAACAAATATACTACATTCCAAAATTTGAGATACAGAAAAAGCAGTGTTCAGATGGGGTTTGTAGCTGGAAATGACTGTATTGAAAAAGAGGAAAGATCTTAAATAAATATCCTAACTTACCTTAAAGAACTAGAAAAAGAAAAACACATCCAAAACTAGCAGAGGAATAGACATCAATATTAGAGCAGAGATAAACAAAATAGAGAAAAGAAAAACAGCAAAGTCAATGAAACCAAAAGT